AGCAGTATCTGTACTTTCACTCAAGTAATGGAGTTGAGTACTTTGTCCGCCTCTGCCTATATGTCTACATTAATTATATAAGAAGATTCTGTATAAATATGCAACATTTCTGCCACAATACCACAGTTACTGTGTTACTACAGTAAATCAAAATGTTGGTGATTTGTGGATTGAAAAGTATTCTTACTGCATTGTTGTCGCACAATGTTTCTCCTATTTTCCGCGTTAGTGTTGCTGAGAATGTCAGCGCTGTTTTATCTGCCTTTGACATCTGTGGTGTAACCTCTGCTCCAAACTCAAACGCTTCTCACAGCGCTGTTTAGTGGTCTCGTGATCGAGATCAGTCAGCGAGTAAACGCATTTGTTCTGAGCTCGCGCTGCGCTGTCTTTAGGCAGAGCTAAAAACGGTCCGTGCAGCGCAGCTCAAACGAGTCGCGCTCTTCCGCTTTTGACACGTTTAGGAACACTAAAGAAATGAGCGAGCATATGAGTTATCAAATTGTTATCACTCGCGGTTTACTGCTACAGCTGGTCTAAAATTTAGTGCTGCCATCTTGTGTTCACATTGTGAAACTGCATAGGCCTATTTTGTAAATTATGCTTGGCGGGCCATATATAATATACTATTTAAGACAGCTGCGGGCCGCTTAAAATTCATCCACGGGCCGCAGTTTGGACACCCCTGCTCCAGAGCCTTCAGATTTCCAGCTGCATGTTGATGCTTCTCCTCTTCAGTTCACCACACTCATTTTCTATAGGGTTCAGCTCAGGGAACTGGGTTGGCCTGCAGGGCAGAAGCTTGGTTTTGTTCTCAGTGACCCATTTTTGTTTTGATTTTGATGTTTGTTTGTGGATCATTGTCCTGGTGGAAGATCCAACCATGACCCATTATAAGATTTCTAGCATGGACAGTCAGTTTTAAATGTTTTATCCATTGGTATTTTATAGAATCCATTATGCCATCTATCTGAACAAGATATCCAGCAGAAAAATAGGCTCACAACATTAAATATCCAGCAGTATATTTCATTGTACACATGGGGTACTTTTTTATCCCTGTGTGCACCAAACCCATCTTGAGTGTTTGCTGCTAAAAAGCTAATTTTTTTAGTTTCATCTGACCATTGAACCCAGTCCCGTTTAAAGTTCCAGTCGTGTCTAGCAAATAAATATGCTGGAGTTTGTTTTTGGATGAGAGCGTTTTCTTTTTTCTTGAAACCCACCAAAACAACATTTTTTTTTTTTAGGCTTTCTGACCCCAAGACTCAACTATTTTCTGCAGTTCTCCAGCTTGTCATCCTTGGAGTCTTTGGCGACTCAAACTCTCCTCCTCGCCGTGCATTAGGACGATATAGACACACGTCCTCTTACTGTATTTGAGAAAAATGTTTATTTCATAATGTGATTTTCCCCCACTTTCACTTTTTTTTTACTTTAATTAAAGGTTAGATTTTTTATTTTTTTATTTTGAATGAAAGATCAAGAGTGAATCCAACATTTGACTGAACTGCTTGCAGTAACGTACAGTCATGGCCAAAAATTTTGGCAGTGACAGATTTTGTGTTTTGCAAAGTTTGCTGCTTCAGTATTTGGTTTCTATGGTATACTGAAAAACAATAAGCATATCATAAGTTTTAAAGGCTTTTATTGGCTAAAAATTATAATCTCAGGATGTTACGTTATTATGTGATATCATGGACACACTCAGGGGCGATTCTAGGATTTTAATTTTAGGGGGGCTCAGCCCCCAATGAGGGTAGGCTATAATATATTTATATATATAAAATAATAATAAAAAAAGTTTGACTAATAGGGGTGGTATACACTAAACTACACTGGCTATATACCAAAAAGTATTCCACTGTATCGCATAGATCGGTATAACTTATAACTGAATAAGCCACATACAAATCTTCATGATCTCCCACACACCTGTTTACTGTACACACACAACATTTTACTGTTTGCTATAGCCCCCCTAAAAATGGCCTAGCGACGACCATGGACACACTTATATTTTATTGTAGTTTATGCCTACTCAGCTCATATAGGACACCAGAGATATCACATAATAACCTATATTAGGCCAAAAAGACTGTAAAGTCATTGTTTAAATTCCTGTTTGTCCTTGTGCCCTTGAACAAAGAACTTAAAAGTTGATCTGATTCACAAACAAGTAATTCTCTGTTTGATGTGTCCTATATTTAGTGTTCCAGTCGGCTCTGACACCTGATCCCTGATTAATGAGCAAATGTAAAGACAATTGGATGTTAGGCTGAAAAAAGGCGTATTTTAAGACCAGCTTTCAGGATTCTGTATTCTTTATTCTGCCGGATCTTGAGATCTGTGATGTTGCAACGTCATAATTTGTTATTTGTTAGAGGTGAGAGAAGTGGAGCAGAACCTGAGAGCCAGACTGATCACGTCTACACAGCCACTAAACAATCACAAAAAAACCTCAAAGAGATCCTAGACATTGTAAAGGCCAAACATAAGAACAATATAAATCTAACACAAATATTCTTAAGCACACAATTGTTGTTCCTATGCTGAAGAAACATTGCAAATTTTACAGCTTAATTTTCATCTTTGGCTGACGTCAATTATCTTATTATTATAAATAAGGTCCGCAGTATAGAAGCCAACTGTTGTTTGGTCTTTCATTTTTCTGCATCTCTTCTCCAGGTAAAACTCCTAAAATGTAAAAAAAAATAAAAATAAAAAATCAACACACACTGACTCACCTAAATGGCTTTTATGATGAGTAATTGTGGCTGCCATGTGACAATAAGTTACCAAATCATTATCTCTACGGTCCATTGACTGTGTCTTTGTGTGTAAAGGGTATTGTCATGACTTTTTTCCCCTTTATTCATGTGTCCTTTATACAAGAAATAAAGCAAGCAGGAAAGAAGACTGGCAGACTAAAAGAAAAAAGACAAAAAAAAGTGTTGTCATGTCTTAATATATTTTTAATGCTTGAATCCAAATGCAATGCGAAAACCTTTTGACATCCCTAGCAAAAAATAAATATACTGAAATGTATTTGAAATACATTTATTTCATGCTAAGTATACTACAAATACATTTACACTTTTATGTACTTAATAAAAATACCAGGCAATTGTACGTTTAGTATACTAATCTGGTATACTTAAAGTCTGCTAAATTGGAACAACTAATTTTGTACTTAATGCACTTTAATTGTGTGGAAGTAGTGCTGAAGTGCAACTAAAGATATACTGAATTATATTTGATTGTGCTAAAGTGGGAACTATTGCAAGTATACTTCAGGTACACTTTAAATATCTTGCATTTAAAGACCAACATAAAGACATAAAGATCATACAATCCTCATCAGTAGTGACATTAAAACACATTTAAGCTTAATATAAATGTAATGTAAATGCGATGGCGCCGCAGACGGCAGCCTCAGTGTTTGGCTCTCCAGTGTTTGTACTGTTTTTGTTAGTTTTTCCTGTATCCGATCTAGAAGCGCTTTTCATTAACTGTAAACCATTCTATTCGCCGCGGGAGTTTCACTCGGTCATTCTCGTCAGTGTCTACATTCCTCCGCAAGCACACATGAGCTCAGCTTTGTATTCCAAATAAAGTTTAATTATAACTTTTATATCATTAAGTCTCGAGCGATACATCAGTAAATATGTTAATATATTTGAACTATACTTAGTATGAAATAAATGTATTTTAAATATATTCCTTTTTTACTAGGGATTCAAAGACATCTAAGTTTAAATTTCACATGCCATTCCATTTTTCTTTCTTTTTCTTTTCTTTGTAAATTTACTTGTTGGGCTGGTTTGAAATTCTTCTAAACAAAATTACCAAATACAAAATAATATCAAAGGAGTAGAAATATATAAGTTTACTATATTACAAAAAATGTCTCTGTGACTTTTCTGACAACGACCTCATAGATGTTTGCATGTCTGCACAAATACACCTGAAATTAATTAACAATGCCTATATAACAATAATCACAAATTGTGAAAAATGTTCTCAGCAAAGTGGATATGTGCTTGACAGCTTTGCATACTAAAAAAATGTGAAGAATGAAAGATGACAAAAATGGAGGAGGAGCATTAAGAGAAAATAAGTGGGCAGGTGAGTGACAAACGAGAAGAGCAACTCGAGAAGCTTATAGAACTACACAAAAGGGATTTTAAAAGTCACAGGGAACTAGATTACCACCAGCATCCATTCTGCTAGCGAACAGAAGGACTGTGTGAAGATGTGGAGATTAACATGCGTCATGTTGACCTTGCTCATGTGTGCCAAAGGTAAGGTCTCATGGTACACCTATTAAAGTGAGGATATGCGTGAACAAAGACATATAGAAAAAGAGAGAATATATTTTTGCTTTCTTTGTGGCAGAGGGCATAAGAGCAGTCTAAGGGCTATGTTAAAATAATGATGCATTAACATGAAACTTGCAATTTGGTATCATACTGTATGTTGATTCATATGACTGATATTTAATCGTAAAATATGATTACAAATTTAGTTTTATATTTATATATATTTTGCAATGTAATTTAATCATGGAATCATGGAAAAGCTGAATTTTCAGCAGCCAGTACTCCAGTCTCTGGTGTCACATGATCCTTCAGAAGGCAGAAGCACAAGAGCATAAAGAGACTTAAAAAAAAAAACGTACAAACACTTGACTGTTAGTGTAAATACAAGTTATGCCCACCAACAAACGTGTTAACTGAGCTTGTACAGATTGAAAAACACTACTAAAATAAATAAAGTGTACATCCAGGTTCACAAGAACTATTCTTACATAATATACAGGTTTCTGAATTGTAATGATCCTGTGAGATAATCTATGTAAAATCTCTTTCCAGGTCACATTCTTTTTTCTTTAATAAATCATTCTTTCTTTGTTACGGGTACAGAAGCCTATAAATGTTTTACATTATGAGCCACACCTGCTGGGCATGTGGAATGTACTTGCAGGACATGGGGCAAATGCCATTAGTTGAATGGTTTGGGGAAAGAAGGCTGCTAGTTTTGCTTATTATGTGTAATTAAACCGGTTTGCCCAGAAATGTTTTCTGCATGTTCGGTCTCACAAGTTAATGGTATAACAAATCTACCATTGCAGTGCAGTGATCTATGGCAGGGTCATTATTAAGGGAAACATGAAAATGAAATTGTTCTAATGTGCACTTTATTTCTGCCCTTGCAGGTTCACATTCTCAGTTGAATGGTAAGAGCTCCTCTCATTCTTCAGACGTCAACATCAAGTCAAATAGTAGAAATATAGAAATACTTACAATATGTGAACAATCTCTCTTTCTCATAGTTTGTGGACAGGCTTCTCTAAACACCCGTATTGTTGGTGGTGTGAACGCACCTGATGGGTCGTGGCCGTGGCAGGTCAGTCTGCACAGCCCTCTTTATGGAGGTCACTTTTGCGGAGGCTCCCTCATCAACAATGAATGGGTGCTGACAGCAGCTCACTGTTTACCTGGGTAAGATTCTCCTAAACACACATATGCACCTGTTTTGTTTTAACGGGTAAAAAGACTGAAAGAAGGAAAGTGTTATCATGATGTCTTCAGATATTTTGTTTTGTTTGACATCTGAATCCAATGTGAAAACCTTTGGCATTCAAAGACATTTAGGTTTCAATTCCACATTTTTTAGGTTTCAGACCACATCACTGTCATGCTAATGCCTGCATACAGACCACTCGTTAAAGTCACCAAACCAGTTCACAAACAGATACAAGTGTGGCTGAGTCAGAGGCTCTTCAAGACTGTTTTAACACCATGTGGAAGAATTGACAATAAAGCAGACTTGAGACTTGAGACTATTACAAATTTTTTAAAAAGTACTTAATTATAATTTTTTTCTATTTCCTTCTTTTCTATTTCTTTCTCACGTTAACATTCTCTGACTGTATTTAGTGTCAGCACATCCAGTCTGCGTGTGTATTTGGGAAGGAGGACACAGCAGGGAGTCAATGCCAATGAAATCAGTAGAAACGTGAGAACGATAATCACCCACTCCTCTTACAACAGCTTCACACATGACAATGACATCGCTCTGCTCCGGCTGTCCTCCGCGGTCACCTTCAATAACTACATTAGACCCGTGTGTCTGGCGGCCCAGAACAGCGTCTTCCCTTCTGGCACCAGCAGCTGGATCACAGGCTGGGGAGATGTTCAATCTGGAGGTACAAACACATGCAAACCCATTAATTCATATATGCATTTACTCCAAAAATCACTAATTAATTGTTGTGTTTTTGGGGTTCAGTGAGCCTACCTTCTCCTGGGATTCTGCAGGAGACTATGGTTCCAGTGGTGGACAATGTTCAATGTAATACTCTGCTGGATTCTGGATCTGTTACCAGCAACATGATGTGTGCTGGTTTAACACAGGGAGGCAAAGACACCTGCCAGGTACAACAATTCTATTTTTTTTGCATTCATATTGTCTATTTAAGATAAATGCTTAAAATTAAGTAGCTCCATAGTATAAACATACACGTTACAAAAAAAAAAAAATTATGATTTCAGCAATGGTTGCCAGCCCAGAACATTACTGTAAAAAAATATGGTAGCAACATTTTAGTTTTTATGAATGGAACTAAACTTATAATTAATAAATAAATAAACATTAACTGATATATTCAACCTACTGAAGAACTAAACATTTTTTGTACCTTTATCACACACTGACAACCACCAAGAAACCTCAGGTGAAATACGAAAAACCATTAAGGTAACACTAAAATAATGCAATAAATATTTATTTGATATTTATTATTTATACATCTCCTTTCTCTTTCATCTTGTTCCTCTCTATAGGGGGATTCTGGTGGTCCGATGGTGAGTCAGCAGTGTACAGTGTGGGTTCAGTCTGGTATCACCAGCTGGGGTTATGGCTGTGCCGATCCCAACTCTCCTGGAGTTTACACCAGCGTGTCTCGATATCAGAGTTGGATCACAAACAACATTGGACAGAACCTGCCGGGATTTGTCACCTTCAGCCCTCCAAACTCATGCTCCTCTGCCAGCCTAAGTAAAACTCTCTCTCAGACACCTACACACAGTTTATACCCAATTAACAGAGGATACTTGTTTGACTAATGCTGGTTTGTGTGTGCAGCCTCAACCTCCTGTAGGGGGAGATGCAATGAGAAGTACAACAGTCACTTCCGCTGCAACTGCAATACTAACTGCATTTTAAACTGCTGCAAAGATTACAGACAGCGTTGTACCAGTAAGTCCACATTCATTTTGGTAATAAACAAAGAAACACATTCACACCTTTAATTGACTAGTCTCAAGGTGATTGTTAATGAATATATAAAGACAGTGTCTCATGACTTATATTTTTGTTATTGTGTCTCTGCAGTGTGAGGTGTGTCATAATTCCATGGAATTATTTGATCACAGGTTTATAATCACGTCACTTGCACAGATATCAATCAGATTATCTTCATCTGCTTGTTCTGCGAGGAGATTTTACTTCAGTACTGTTTTGGATGAGTTGCACAGTCAGAAACGAGCACCAATGCAAACGCAGTCAAAGAACTGCTGCACTGACTTCACTCAGGGGTGTAAATGCATATTATGTTCAACATTTGTTTAACAGCAGCACTTACCTCACTCCATTAGTAGAATCCCTGTCTCCTTTGTTTTTCTCTTTCTAGTTCTAGCATGCAACCAACAATATTAAGTGTAGGCACGGGCAACTTTTTTAATTTATTTTTTTTCCATTTAGCATTTGCACATTTCTTAAAAATGTTATGTATAACATAATTACTTGAAATATTAAACTGATGTCTTTCTTTGTGGTCACATTTAAATTTACGCATTTAGCAGATTCTATCCAAAGCAACTTACAAAAGAGGAACAAAGAAATTCATCAAAGAACCAACAATGTTGTAGTACTCACTGACAGATTTATTAGACAACTAGATTAGGAAAACCAGCTAGAGAAGAGAGTTTGAAAGGTAGAGAGGAGATTTTGTGTGTGTGTGTGTACTGGTTTAACTATACTTGTGAGGGCCAAATGTCCTCACTTATATTGTGAAATACTTTGACAACCCACTAGTGAGAATATTTGACTGGTCCGCACTAGTTACAAAGGTTTATGAATCAGCCAAAAGATGTTTTGATGTAGTGGTTGGGTTAGGTGATAGAAAATATAATTAACCTGATAGGAAATAAGTGGAAGTCTATGCAATGTCCTCACTAAGATAGCAAAACAAACAATTGTGTGCGTAAGTGCATAGGTTAAATTAAGAGTGTGGGGTGGTTAATTGCTTGCGGAAAAGGTGTATTGTTTCTGCTGACGAATAAATTGTGATTTCTTTAAGTTTAGCTTTATTTTTATCACACAATTCTTGACCATATTTAGTTTTTGTATTATGTACCTAATGTAGGCCTAAGTGTAATGATATGCCATGGCTTTTATCAGAATAGTTTAATACTTCAAAACACGGTCTGTTTGTTTTTTTTATGTTTTTTCCTGTGATAAATCTCTCCAGCAGAGGGCGAGAGGCACAGGTGAAACGAGTGCGTACTGCGTAGCATAAACCATACACTTCACTGACGCTAAACCCGATTCGGACGGTAATTGTTTCCAAAGACCATATAGGGACTTTGATTGTTTCAAATGGGGACGTAAACTATTTGTAACATTTACAGGGTTAGTCGGTGATTTTATTACAGTATTGTTCTTTCACCACCCGCGTAAACATCCCCAGCCGAATTATTTTCCTTTTTTTTTTTTTTACCCCCGAATCCGAATCCTACGGAGCCCGGGAAGTCACCTGTAGGAGAAAAAAAAAACAATCCGGGGCGACGGTTTTGCAATCCGTCCCCTCAGTTTATTAACCGTACTCACGAATTCTTAAACTGTTCCCTCGGTTTAACAAATCGTGCCCACGGATTAATAAACTCACGAATTTCCAATCCGTGTGCTCAGATTTTGTAATTTAAAAATAAAGCATTCATGAATTATTTTATGACAAACATTTTTTTTCTTAAAATAAACATTTAAGACATTTCTTAAATGTCTTAAGCGCACTCATTTATTTAGCCTATAAATTAAAATAATAATAATAATAATAGCTATTATTATTATTATTATTATACAAGACTATTTGTAGGCATTTTTATCACTGAGGTGCCATGTACATTTATTTTTACAGACGTCCACATGAGAAACAATCACCGTCGGAATAGGGCTAAAGACAGTGATAGTCTATGCGGCAGGACTTCAGCATAAAGTCTGGTCAGAGTCGGCACTGTGCAGCACTGAAGAGGGGCGTCTGAAGTAGCCTATGAAAGGGGGTGATGACGTAACGCAGAGAATCCTAGCTATAGGCTATGTGAAGTGATCCATTTAAGCTAATATATAAGTTACATTAAAGCTAAAAGTAACGTGACGCACATGTGGCCAACCCATACTCAGAATTTGTGCTCTGCATTTAACCTATGGAAGTGTGCACACACAGCAGTGAGGAGTGAAGACACACATACACACCGTGAACACACACCTGGAGCAGCGGGCAGCCATTTTTGCTGCGGCACCCAGGGGGGTTCGGTGCTTTGCTCAAGGGCACCTCAGTTGTGGGTATTGAAAGTGGAAGAGAGTGCTGTTTCTATATAACACAAAAACTTGCCTAGACCAACTTATTTGCAAATTCGACTCAATATCCATGATATAAATACGTTTTAGACCGTGATCCATTTAAGCTAATATATAAGTTACATTAAAGCTAAAACATAACGCACATGTGGCCAACCCATACTCAGAATTTGTGCTCTGCATTTAACCTATGGAAGTGTGCACACACAGCAGTGAGGAGTGAAGACACACATACACACCGTGAACACACACCTGGAGCAGCGGGCAGCCATTTTTGCTGCGGCACCCAGGGGGGTTCGGTGCTTTGCTCAAGGGCACCTCAGTTGTGGGTATTGAAAGTGGAAGAGAGTGCTGTTTCTATATAACACAAAAACTTGCCTAGACCAACTTATTTGCAAATTCGACTCAATATCCATGATATAAATACGTTTTAGACCATGAGATGTAAATATGTCTTGGATAGCCTAAACAATTTCAGCAGGTTTACCATGAATACAGAAAAGTTACTACTGCCAAATATACGTATCTGCTTTATAACACTCATTTTGCGCCTGCACTGTAAACCGTGACAATAACAACAGTGAAATAAAATATACACTCTAAAAACATCATTAAAAAATACACAGTACTGTATTGATATGAAGGAATATTCCGTAACGGTTGAGCAGGCGATGGTTGAGTTTCTATTGTTATATGACTATTAGAGGCAGGTAAAGCTGAACTCAATAATAACACAAATAATAACACAGCAAATAACACTACAAAATAGTACAGCACATCCAAATAATGGTGGGGCAGTCTCCATGAATGATTTACAAAAGAAATTAGCTTAACATATTGCAGATTTAGATTTCTGTCCAAAGTAATAGGCAATAAATAGTAGGTCCTTATAAAACATGACTTTGTGAAGTGATCAAATTTGCCATGTCAGCCCAATAACATGCTTCTCAAGCATAAAAAAGTCAATTTTTGCACAAAACCACCTCTTTCTCTTTCTACCACCACTTTCTTACTATAATGGGAATCACTGAATTTAAAAATTGAAAACACTAAACACTAAACTAAACATCTATCTATCATTTACAACATTTCAAAAACTGGATCTATCTATCATTTAAAACATTTCAACAACTGGATGTCAGAGAACATTCAGAATTTTTTTTTTCATAACTTAATTGGAATGTTAGCTAAACATTCTTAGAACATACTTTGATAAATTACTTTTGTTTTTCTGTTAAGTCACTTTGGATAAAAGCGTCTAGCTTAGATCAGTTAGGCTGATTTATTTTTAAATCATGCTTATCTGGAGCTTATCTTGAGCAAATACAGCTGTGCCATCATGATTTAGAGATTTAATTTCTGTGCAGCTTCACTTTAAATTTATGTTAAGTTCAGTATATCAGGCTCTCCTGCTACTGATCTGCTTAATTCATGTATAAGAAACTTTATGCACTAATAAACTGGCAGTATTGCTGTGATTAAGTACTATTTATCAGCCAAACTGCTTGTATATTTTTCGTGTGTATTGTGTAAACACTTTGTTCTTTGTCTAGGGATATTGGGCTGCTGTCATAAACCTTCATTTAAAAACCAAACTGACAATTATGTTTCAGCGAAGGTGGTTGTTAGAATTGTTTAAACAGTTTCAACCTTTATGACTTGTTATATAAAAGATGAACATACAGAACAATGAGCGATTTAAAGGATGATTTAAATTTAGCTTTATACAGTAGTTCCAGTTCTCTGATCTGATTAGCCAAGCTGCTTTCCACAAGTTACAAAAATCTAAATATTAATCTAAATGAATCAGCAAAGTAAAAGAACAGCAAGACGTTGGCCGACTTTCCTTTTCTTTCTTTTTTCATATCTATTGGCAAAATACCATTACTGTGTAAGTTTCTTCCAGGATTGTGCAACAGAGTTGGCTCACAGTGACCTCACATTTAATCAGATGTCTCAAGCACATGCACACATAACGTGTTGTGTTAAAACATCAGTACCAGTTATGAGACTAAAGGAGACGGTGGAGGCGTGGCTGTAGGGTCTATTTGACAAAACAGAGAACTGAGACATATGAACGCAGAGACAAATTGTGCTAAAAAGGGAACAAAGTAGGGATATCTATAAAAACCAAGGAGGAAACCATAGTGGATGGATGCCACAGCTGTTGCAAGGTAAGCCACTGATAGGAAATTATATATTGTTTTCTTTGACTAATGAACTGTTGTTAGTTTTGTAGTGTTGTTGTTAGTTTTCTATTGGCCTATATTATACTTCATGTCATTAATAATTGCTGGTGGAAATATTACCCCCAAATACATGCAGCATAAAATGGCCCTGTGTTAATATTCTTATATTTTGCAAATGTGCTGACAGACGGTTTAAAGGGATAGTTGAAAAATCTGTCACCATTTAAAGTCATTATAAACGACTTACTTTCTTCTGTGGAACATAAAAGAAGATATTTTGAGAAATGTCTAGGTGTTTTGTCCTTTCAATGGAAGTCAGTGGTAACCAAAACGGTTTGGTTCATCATAATATCATCTTTTGTGTTCCACAAAAGGAAGTCATACAGGTTTGGAACAACATGAGGGGGAGTAAATGATGACAGAATAATGTATACAATTTACTCTCGAATAATGATATATAACTATAGGATAAGTAACTATACAATGTACTGTAGATATTAACCAATACCACACTAAGAAGATTCGGCCGTGGGCACGAGGCCGCAGGTAATCACAGCCGTGGTGATATTTAAACCAGTGTGAAAGCCAGTGTGATATTGTTTTTAAACAACAGTTCGCTAAACAATATTGTTCAATATTGTAATATCGTTAATATTGAATAACTTACATTTTATACTGTAGATATTAACCAATACCACACTAAGAAGATTCGGCCGTGGGCATGAGGCCGCAGGTAATCACAGCCGTGGTGATATTTAAACCAGTGTGAAAGCCAGTGTGATATTGTTTTTAAACAACAGTTCGCTAAACAATATTGTTCAATATTGTAATATCGTTAATATTGAATAACTTACATTTTAGACATAATTTTACCTATTTTCCCCTTTCCAAACGAAGCCAGAGAAGAATTAAGTCATGCGTCACAGCTGTTGTGTTTTGAAGATTTAATATTAAAGATTTGTCACTTATCACCTACTGGTGTAACAATCTAACTGGAAGACTTGTTTTAAAATTAAAATAAAAAAAAGGTCAAAATGTAATTATTTGTGGTCTCGGTTTGTATTAAGAAGAGAAGGCACTCTTTTGAAATGTCCATATTGCTTATTGTCCATATAGCTCACTCTATTATGGTTGGGTGGGTGGGTATTCAGAGGTGCTTTAGGAAACAGGATGTGGTATGTAGTGACCTTAAACTGTGGCATTTAGTTTCAGAAAGAAAAATGAAACCAGCAGCCCTTAAAGTGACATGTAGACAATAAAACATGCACACAGGACAGCATGTGTGTGCTTACAATAATACAACAAAAAATGCGTGACTTTACATTGATTTTTGATGAATTTACTGTTTCGTGTCTTCTCAGGATGTGGAACGGCACGGATCCTCTGAGAAATGATACCTTTTCTTGTGCGTCCCCATCTGTCGAGGGCTACCGTTATTTTGGCGTCCTCTTGGGATCGGCTGTGACCATAGTAGGAACCATAGGGAATATTCTGACGGTCCTCGCCTTTGCTACTGATGCCAGCCTGAGGACACGTTTCAATGTTCTCATAGTAAACCTTGCCCTCGCTGACCTTCTTTACTGCACGATGCTCCAACCGGTCAGCGTTGACTCGTACCTGCACCTGCACTGGAGAGGCGGAGCCACATGGTGCCGGATGTTTGGATTCCTTCTGTTCCTGTCCAACAGCGTGTCCATTATAACATTATGCCTCATCGCTATGAGCCGTTACTTGGTTGTTGCGCATCGCACTTCTCGCTGCGCCCGTCTGCTCCTGTCCCACCGTGGAGTGGCAGTGCTCCTCATCTCATCCTGGCTACTGGGTCTAGCCAGTTTCGCCCCACTTTGGCCCGTCTATGTGTTTGCCCCGCAAGTGTGCACCTGCAGTTTTCACCGCAGTAAAGGGCGGCCTTACACCACCGTGCTGCTTTTCCTGTACTTCTTCTTGGGCTTGGGTTGTGTGGGCCTTTTCTACTTACTGATCTACCGTAAGGTGCGTGTAGCCGCTAAGGCTTTTCTGAAGTACAGGCCCAGTCGTCGCTCATCAAAACGCAAGCAGGCCGAAGCTGAAGCGGCGACGGATGACAGCGGGATCAGTGCTGGAGCTTCAACAACTCAAAGCTGTGAGATCAGTAATGATGAAGCAGGAGCGGAGCAGAATAGGAACAAAGCAGAGGAGAAATCCGAGGGCCACACAACCACAAAAGAACCAAAAAACTCCATTCAAGATGCCTCAAAAGACATAGAAACGTCTTCTAAACCATCTCCGATAACAATCCAGACCACTCCAGCTGCCGGCTCAGGAGAGGACAGTGAATTTAAGCGTGTAACTCGAATGTGCTTTACAGTTTTCTTGTGTTTTGTCGGCTGCTTTGCGCCATTTCTGCTGCTGAATGTCTCTGATAAGGCGAACCGTGCACCACAGGTCATTCATATGTTCTGTGCAAATCTCACTTGGTTAAATAGTTGCATTAACCCTTTGTTGTATGCAGCCATGAACCGGCAGTTTAACCAGGCCTACAAAGACCTACTACACAAAGCTGTACATCCATTAACCTGGATATGGAGGACCCGTCGGTTCACAACAAGTTAAGCGATAATTACAAATGTTATCCAAGTAATTTCAAAATGAATATGACTGAAAGCTAATGCTTTTTAAGTGGCCTTGTGCTGTAGATGTTCAGTGACCTCACATATTATGTATAATGAAATATGGAGCTGCACTCCATTCATTCTATGGAGAACATCACAGTTCTCGGGTTTATTTTTATTCATCTCCATCAGCTGCATATATAAAGCACAATTAAACCAATAGAACCAAATATAACTCAAAACTGCATGCCATATACATTTGATGTATTATGTTCTGTTTTATATTCCATTCACTTTCTATATTGTCAAATAGCTTGTACTTCTTTATTTGGCTCATTTTTGACTATTATGGTCCGAAGGCATTTCTTTTCAAGCAGTGGGATTTTCCAGTTCTAGCAAAGATCGGAAAGAAAATGTGTCTTTTGGCTTTTCACTGCAAACGCACAAACTTTCTCTGTTTCATTTCCTCATTTTTCTGTTTGCACATAGTCAGTAATTATGCGTGCTACCAAAGGAATGATTCATAATGACATTAAGAACATTATATTTTGTAACCTTACGCACAAATGAACATGGGAGTTTACAGCTGGGTGATGGAGACAACAAGGACATGCCTTACTGTTTATTACCTCACATAGGAAACCACGAGAGTTTCTTAAATCCTCTTTTGCTTGCTGTGTTGTTTCCATTTTGATATATTTACTCTTTAAGCTGGATCTCCAGAATATGAAATAAGTTGTATGATTTTATTTTTAAGTTTTATTTGCAGTTCTTTGACATGTAGGTGGATCTGTAACGTGTATATTGCACATCATATCAGTGTTCTACAATTAAAATATGATTCAAAATGAAAACATGTATTATGATTTCTTTCTGAATTGCTCCTTTTGAAATAAAGTAACTTAAAATATGTAGTAAGCAAAAATACTATATTGAAACTTGCTTCTGGCATATTTGTTGGCTCTAATGGAGATTAAGGTTTGAATCTGTCCAGATCCCATTTTTATCTATTTTAATTTTATTATGTGTTTTTATATTACCATCTCAAGTCAGCTTCCAGCTTTTGTAGATCTTGACACAAAACCAAGCATTTCGCAAGTCCAGACAAGTGTCTGTAAAAATTCTTGACATTGCAACAAAGGAGGAGCCATATCATGACGTCAAAGCTAAGGTTATATTGTATTTAGAAATTTAAGATCATCAGGCAAAAATCCTGGGTATCATGCTCATGGATTTCAGAATGGCCACAAGAGTTAGTTATTATATAAGTCACACCAATTCCAAATTCTGTTTGTCTATATAAAAGGCATGTGTACAATGGAACATGGGACAAATCCAATTTTGTCCCTGAGTAAGGGAACGGATACGGTCTTGGTAAACTAAATAGTTTTAACTTAACACAAGTTTTGCCAGATCGGTGTCTTGGTTTTCATTTAGAATGACATTATGACAGACTTATCCCTCATTAGATGTTTTATTGGACCAATATTGTACCATTGTACTCATATTTCAACTCTACAAAGTCTTGTTAACAGATACAAAACATATTACAATAAGGTTGACAGTGGACACAATGCAAAACTTGGTTACATGCATTTGAAACAAAGTCTACAAATTCAAACAGAAGTGCTCATGAGGTAACTAAATCTAAAAGATAACGTGATTAAATAACCATGATATGGAATTTCATTTCAAAATTCAAAAAAAGAAGAAAAAAAAATTAATTTGGGCCTATTTTTTGTTCTCTAAAAGATTTCAGAGACCGTCCAATCTCTGGGACCTAACAGATTCAGTTAGAGGAACACATTTAATTTATCTGTACACATTGTTACACAACAACTCGTTTCATTTACCAAGAAATCGGAAGCATTCCGTTCTTACACATTTCTACTCAAGTGCATTTTTCTGTCATCAGAAATCACAGTGTTACTCTCAAGAGTACACTCTTAAAAATAAAGGTGCTTCACGATGCCATAGAAGAACCTTTTTGTCTAAATGGTTCCATAAAGAACCTTTGACATCGGAAGAACCTTTCTGTTTGACAAAAGGTTCTTTGTGGCGAAAGAAGGTTCTTCAGATTACAAAAAGGTAAGAAAGAGATGGTTCTTTAAAGAACCTTTGACTGAATGGTTCTTTGTGGAACCAAAAATGGTTCTTCTATGGCATCGCTTGAAGAACCTTTTGAAGCACCTTTATTTTTAAGAGTGTAATCATACAATCAGTCTGATTCAAATTCATTTTGTTTAAAAGATATTAACATCTAAAACAAATATGATCAAGTATTTTCACCAGCCAGATAAAGCTCTGTATAATCTGCCTTCAACTGGGATAACAGAACATTTGAACTAAATTCAGCTTTCAAAATTATAGAAAATGTGTCAAAATGATCCATTTCCATTTTTATAGAAGTTAATCACAGTATCTGCCTAATCAAAACTGTAATTGATGACTCAACTATCCAGTACCAAAAACAGGAAAATAGTAAGTATTTCTATTGTCTTGAAGTTGGGTTTAGTGAAAGCCAACAAATCACTTTTAAAATTATTAACTACAAGGAATAAAATCCAGTTGACTCAAAAGCAAAACATTCAGGTACTTTTCTACAATCTCAATAGTGGTTATACAAAATACAAATTGATCATAAAAGACAAAAAAAAAATGAAGGTGCCTCAAATCCTAGAGTTAAAGACTACTATAAAAGCATCATCAACATTGGTGCCTTTAAATGTCAAATTAAGTGATTTAAACCAAGCACTGCGCAATTCATTTTTGCTATTGAAAATACATTTAGAATAGAAGAATACAAACTGTTCTGCTGATCGTATACTTGGACCATAAAAGCATGATCTTTACTTGGGTTAAATGGCAGAAATGTTTATTTTTTATAAAGTCATCCAAACTCTAATCACCACTCATTTTCATTGCTAAGGAGCTCTAATATTGTTTGAATTCATTTCAATTAAACTTTTTCTTTCCAGCTTATTTTTTATAGGGACAAATATTTACTAGCAGCTTACGAATCGTGAGGTCACAAGACCTCACTCATCCTTGTCAAAGGCTTTACTCCCTTAAAATTCAATAGACATAAGTAACAGATGATTGGATGAGTAGACATTCAGATATAAACACTAAATGGATAAAGTAATAATAAAATCAGTACTGAAAATGAAGTAATGCCTCTCTACTTTATACTTATTTACAACAAATCAGAGCTACGGAAAGCATTATACGGCTTGAGTTTTAGCTAACCACATGGATCATGGTTTTGTGTTCAATGGATCAAATTCAGGGGGTCAGTGGTATGTTGGGATTGCCAAGATCTTGAAAACCAGGATCAAGGATGAAGCCATCTGGCTCCTCCTGCAGTATATGAAGGTTTATGCCATTTAAAAACTCTTGCAATGTGTAATTAACGTCATTGTCTGTAGAGAGTGCTTCTTCAAGGTTATACTCGGCACTCTCTGGAAAGCTTTGTTGGAGGCATGATGGTGAAATGCGGGGAGAGGTTGGAGGAAATGCATGTGGAACAGTGCTCTCACCATCACTGTCCAAAATACTGCTAAGCAAATCAGCATCAATGGTAGAGATGGAGAACATTGGAGACTTCTTGGACACTTTGAGCAACACATCATCATCATCATCACCCGCATCAGAAAAGGAAGGAGGGTCTTTTAAACATGAAGGAGATGAGAAAGCAAGAGAGACATGTTATTGTTAACCCAATAGCTGCATTACAATAATAAAGACTTCTTATATTTCTGATGCTGTTTAGCATCACTTTTAAAAATAAAGGTTCCAAAAGGAGCTTTTCGCAGCTCTGCCATAGAAGAACCATTTTAGATCCCCCAAGTACATTCAGTGAAGAACCATTTTTTTCATAGTTTGAGGAACATTTAATAATCTAATTAACTTTTTTCACTATAAAGAACCTTTTGTGCGGTGGAAAGGTCCAATGGATGTAAAAGGTTCTTCATGGAACCATAAATGGCAATAAAAAAAAAACTTTATTCTTAAGAGTGTTGGATCAACTTTAGAGATGCACAATATATCGGTACCATATCATATCAGTTATCAGACAGTTTTAGAGATTTTTTTTTTTAGATGGGTGGCTGTTTTGTTGCTTACGTTCCCCAGTTGTACATTTAGATTACCATTACTGTCATCCAACGCTCAAAGATAATCTTTAAAAACACTAAAAATGTAATAACCCTGTTTAAATGTAATCTTTAGCAAATCTCAAAATGAATATCCATTTCATATCCACATCATAATATAACAACGTAACATAAATCATAGAAGTTTTTGTTTTATTATTCATTTATGTAGACAAAACAGTGGAGAATTTTAATATTGGCTATTTATCAGTTAAAAATAAAATCAGTTGCAAAAATATATTAGCTCATTGATATCAGTGCATCCCTAAATTGTGGCATGCAACATGCCAAAAAGAAAAAAAAACTTTTAAAATGCTAATAATTTAATAACACTGTTAAAATGTAATCTTTAGCGAATCTCAAAATGAATATTAATTTTTCATACTGTACATTATAATACATTAATTTAAAACAGCTCATTGTAGTTTTTGTGTTCTGTTATTAATTTATTTAAACAATACGGCACAGAATTTTAATATCGGCCATAACATCAGCTTATCGATATCGGTGCATCCCTACATTTTGCATGTGCATTTGACATGCAAGCTCAAGCTTCCATAAACATTTTTAAATCAGTGTTACTGTAATGGTTAGGTTTGTGTTATTGAAACAGCCCACCACACAAACAGAAGGTCCCTTTGTGCACAGTGAATCAAATGCACTTGGGTAAGGAAAGAAAGGAAGAATCTAAACAAGATGTTAAAGTTGACTGGGCCACTGAATGAAAGAGAAGCATCCGTAAAAGTAACATCTGTATTCATCAGAAAACCTTTTGCAATCAAGACTTGGTGATTATCCAGCAAATGAGAAGCAGGTTAGGGTCGAGCTGATTGGATTTGGAGGGGCTGTGGAGGCGGGACTCACCTCTGTCCTGTGTGCACAGGTCAGACTCTGGCCCCTCTCTGATGCCAGAACAGCCATTCCTGCAGCAACCAAGCACAGATCACTCCAGTAAACCAGCAGAACAGCAATCTCAGTGTCTACTCATTCCAGAGTCTTACAGTCTGTTCGCTCCTGAACTTCACAACATCACATGTATGGTGCACTTATCCTCAAATAATATTGTGGTAACGTCTTGAATGCTGTAATCTAACAATGCGACCCTCACATCATCACATAATAACATCTAGCGATAACCTGTATAACTTCTACACAGACACCAATAAAAATTATGGCAAAGTACATCTTGTTTCTAAGGCCCAGATATACTTAATTTTCCCTGTTCCGCTCCTTTTTGCAGACATCAGCAGGCTGTGCTGATGACGAAAATTATGCCTGCATGTGTGCAGGACCAAATTTTCAGTAATGAAGCACTGATCTAAGGCTGGGTGATATATTCAGTTCACAATAAAGTAGCTGGTGATAAAACGAAACAATATCATGAATAGTTATAGTAAAGTGCTTTTTATTTGCCTTGTAAATAAGGTCACTAGAGTAGTTTGACTATTATTTCTTCACAAGTATGAGAGCATAAATACAGATAATAATGCCTATGATTTAAACTTTAGGGGCAAAAATAGTGTTTTCAAATTCAAGAATTGGTTCAAACTTTTAATGAATCGTTTCAAAACAACTGATTGAACTAATTGTTTGTGTTAGTAAATACTGCCATTTATGTCATTTATAAATATATACTGTATATAAATGAAGCTGATTAAATATTCTTATTTGGTTATGTATGAAACATTG